TTCACAAACTGTTAATTCACTTGTTTCCTGCCAAATTGAAAAACAGGCTGAATTTTAAATCTAATGCACTTGATAGAGATAAAATAGCCTCACAGGTGGATGGATATGTGTCCAGATTGAACGAAGTGTGTCATAAAACTCATGTATTCTCATCTTACAGAAATTGTGAAGGTCGCTAGCATAGCTGCAAACCGCAATGTGAGTTTATTCGGAATAAATAAGGTTCTATTCATGAACCTTATGGAGTCCATGAACTATAAATCATGAGTTCACTTGTGTTAATTACCTTCATCAATTTTTTTACAACTAAGTTTATGTAGATAACTAAGCTATTGCTTAAATATTAATTTTTGTATATAATTTATATGCAATATTTTATGACTGCAGTTTACAAAGTTTTACAAATTTATTTTCTCTATTAATTATTTTGAGTAATTTGCAAAATATAATTTTTAGTGACTGTAACATTTATTTTTAAGGACATGTAAACATTTTTAAGGACTGTAACATGTGTTGTATTGGAAAAAATATTGTTTATTTCTGTTAGAATTTGTTCTTTAATCTGTTCTATTTTCAAATTTGTTTCTTTAATCTCAAGTCCCCACAGTTAGCCAATATAGAACTCAAAAGAATCTGTTAAACTTTTAGCATTGATAATTGTGACAAAACTTGGATATAAGTTCTTTCTGTGGATGTGAAGCATTGTCATCCATTCATTAACAGATTAAAGTTCATGTAGTAGTTTTAATTCATTGTTATTCAGATTTTGAAGAACGAATATAATGTGTTTCCATTTTGGGTATATAATTAGTGAGTAATAAGGTAAATTGTGTCCTCTCTTAGGTTTATCTGCAGAAAATGTAGTCATAAGAATAAAATTTGTTATTCTTCAGTTAAAGATTAATTATAATTCTAATGCTTAGCAGCCATTTCCATTATGATATCAACAGCTTAAAGTCATTTTTAAATGTTCTCCAAGGTAACTATATTAGCCTGGTTTTCTCTGGTTAGAGTATTTACTATAATTTTTTATTTGATGATGAAGGATTATTACTTCCATTTTTGAATAGATATTAAAAACTGTTGGAAAAGCTTTAAACATTTGTAAAATTTGTATTTGCATTTATTCTGTGAATTATTTAATGAAACTAAAGGTACTCAAAGATGTATAATTATTTTACAATATAAAAATTATATGGAATTTCCTTTCAAATACTTAAAAATATGTATGTAAGACAGCAAAATATGAAGAAAACTTTATTATCGAATTCAGCTTAATTGGAAACAGTCCTTTAAATTCTTAATTTAATTGCATACACCCACTCTTCAAAGCTCCATACTGTACCATGTTACAACACTTTTTCCCTGCAGTAACCACAGTGTGAAATCTTTTGTCCGATCACTACTGAGGATTAAAACAAAAACTTTCCAAGCTTATAAATACTACTGCAGCTATTACACAACACTTTTGCTGCTTGCTCTGCCTAGGATGTTTTAACCATCAAGCTAGTGTGATTTTCCCTCCTCTCATGTATGTGCGACAGTTTTTCTTGGTTATGACTCAAAAAGTGATCGGTTTGATCATGTGTAGTCAGCTCTCTGCTAAGATCAATCTTTGTAATGTGACTGCAAACCTGTAAAATACCGCATATATTTTTTCAAAAAAGGTGTTCTTAAGCTTTTTTAAAGTTATTGTTAAATTTCCTGGATTCATATTTGCAGCAAAAATTAAGAACAAAGTTTTTTTATTTTTATTTTTTTTTTCAATTGCTTAAGGCATCCTTTTTAAGTATAAACACAAGGCATGCTAAACTTCCACCAGGTGATAATTTCAGGTCATGTTCTTGTATATAGCAGAGTTGCCAACTCTCCCGATTTAGGCGGGAGATTCCCGACTTTCGACCGGTCTCCCGCCAACCCGATTTACAATATATTTCTCCCGACTTTTTCTTTTTCTTAAAATTTCTCACGATTTTTATGAAACTTGGCTTAACACTTGTTATATGAAAAAAAAAAAAAAAAAAGGATTTTGGACATGTCTAAAAGCAATTGAATTTTATCTAGATTATATCTAAAACAAAATCTTGTGAATCAGATGAGAAATTTTTCTGCTTTGTGAAGTGAGAGCATACGTATCCAGAAACGTCCTTCTCCAGTTTTCCAATGGGCACCGAGCTCCACTGCGTGTCATCTGGCATATATCAGCCAATGAGCACACAGCAAGCTCAAGGCTGTTATTTGTATGTTCTTTAGTTAATTCATTCATCTTGTCCTGAGTTGTGTGAGTACACTTGTGCCTTCGGGAAATAGTTTTAGAAATTATCATCTTTTGTTATCTCTGCAAGAAAGGTGAAATACTCGTGTACGTTTCAAAAATCGTACACAGTTGACTTTTCTTCCATTATTTCCTCAAGGAAATGTAATAAATTTGCGATGTGTACCGTCTGTCGTTGCGATTTTTCGATTTCGCATGGTGGAGGGGTGGATGTTCTCAAACATGTGCATACACAAAAACACAAGGACAACATGAGTTGTTTTAAAAAAAAAAACGAAAAATTTAATTTTTCTTCTGATCTGAAAAGAACCAAAAAGTTATTAATGCAGAATGTCTGTTCTCTGCCTTTTTACTGGAGCACAACCTGCCACTGAATGCATCGGATCACGCTGCAGCTTTATTTAGAAAAATGTTTCCCGATAGTGAAATTGCTAAGAAATATTCAAGTTCAAGGACCAAAACACATTGTTGATTTTTATTATTATCTTGAAAGGAGTTCTAAAAGGAAGGAAAAATTGAAACAATTCCAACAGCTGCATAACTAATATTAGTGATGACGCATTAGAAAAACTTTTATTAGCGAAAGCAGGCCTATGTAGCAATTGCTATGAACAAAATTATGAAGTTTCTTTCTTAACGAAAGCAAAATCTGCCACTGTTCATAACATTTGTACAAAAACTGATTAAAGTGTCTTCCCCCCCAAACGATGCAGTGTAAAGTATTTTTGTGTTGCTTTCATTTAAGAATTAGTAACTATTTAAAGTAAATTCTTTATTAAAAACTATATTTTTGTCATTTAAAAAGTATTTTTAACATTGTGAAAATCTCTTGATTTCTTAAAAAAGTCTCCTGATTTTTGAGTGTCATAGGTTGGCAAGTATGATATAGGTAAGGATTTGCATTCAGTTTATGTAGCATGTTGTCTCTTGGTCTTATAGACCTTGTTTGTGAATTTAAATGTATTATCTTTATTGTGGACAATGTGAGTAAAAGTAAATTACTTTTGAAAATTTTAATTTTTTTTACTGATTTAAATACGAGGGTAAGTTGAAAAATAAGTTTCCCCTCTCGACTGTGGTCAGAGTTGTGTATGAAAGTCAAAAAATAGAATGAGACATTAAAGATATGACATACCTTTATTTTTCTGCGTAGGTACCAAGTACATTGAGACATTTGTCATATCGCTTGATAAGCTTCAAAAAGCCCTCCAGGAAAAAATCAGGGCTTTGCATATGGAAGAAGCGTTGAACGGCTTGTTTCACTTCAGTATTGCTTCCAAAGCGCCTTCCCCCGAGATTTTTCTTCAAAGCCGGACACAGATGGAAGTCTCTTGGTGCGAGATCAGGACTGTATGGCGGATGGTGTAGGCGCTCCCAACCAAGAGTTGCAATATGGTTTTGCGTTGCCGTCGCCGAATGTGGTCTGACATTGTCATCCAACAGCAGAACGCCAGATGTGAGAAGGCCAGGCCGCTTTTTCCAAATCGCCTCTTTCAATTTCGACAGAGTGTCACAGTAGCGCGTAGCATTGATGGTTCCAACCTCCAAAAAGTCCAACAACAAAACTCCTTGGGCATCCCAGAAAACTGTGAGAAGCATTTTACCTGCAGAAGGAGTTGTCTTGAACTTCTTTCGGACAGGTGATGACGGATGTTTCCATTCCATAGATGCGACCTTCGATTCTGGCGTGAAATGGTGGACCCACGTTTCATCCCCCGTCACAATCTGAAACAGAAAGTCATTGCCATCTTCATGGTAACGCATGAGATGTTCCAGGCTGACCCCCATGCGTTGTTCCTTGTGGGTCGAGGTCAATTGTCGGGGCACCCATCGTGCTGACACTTTTCTGTATCGAAGAATGTCGTGTATGATGTTTTGAGCTCACTCATGTGAGATTCCAAGTTCTTCCGCTACTTCATCGATGGTGATACGCCGGTTCGCTCTAATCATGTCATCCACCTTCCTGACATTTGCATCTGTAGTGGCCGTGCGAGTCCGTCCAGCTCTCGGTATGTGCTCCACTTGCTGACGTCCATCACTGAATGTGCGACACCATCTCCGCACCATTTGCTTCGACATCACACCTGGCCCATAGACTTCCACGAGGCGGTTATGAATTTCTGTTCCTGATGCTCCACGTGCCCATTCATAGCGGATAACTGCTCTCACTTCCTCCTTTGACCATAAATTCAAAACGCACCTTCTTTCCATACCTACCGGGTCTCAAATGAGAGGCAGGTGTCCGCTTTGTGCAGGCACTGCAACAGCGCCATCTGCTTGATTTGCAGCGACCTCTACCCAATGGTGTATCAGTGACTTGCGCGTTTTCCTGCTGTGTCGCCTTTCGCCCATAGCCGTTCAACGCTTCTTCCATATGCAAATCATGAATTTTTCTTGGAGGACTTTTGAAGCTTATCAAGCGATATGACAAATGTCTCAACGTACTCGTACGAGAATAATAAAATAAAGGTATGTCATATCTTTAATGTCTCATTCTATTTTTGACTTTCATACACAACTCTGACCACAGTTGACAGGGGAAACTTATTTTTCAACTTATCCTCGTACTTTAAAACAATTTACTAAAACATTAATTATAAAGAATTTAAATTACTTATTAAGAAAACTGCATAATAATTTGGTTCTATGTACAAGAATTTGTTTGTCCAACATGCAGCATAATTCAATATAATTAATTGCATTTTGTCTTTAACTGTCATTACAGGTATTAAAAAATTGCATGATGAAGTGTATAAAGTATCTCAAGCATGGTTTATGCGCCTACCTTCTGATACAAAGCGCCAAATTTTGCTGCATTTTGGACCTATGCCTCCTGTTGAAAGTAATTATTTGAACTCCCCAAATGGTCCTTCTTGGTTCTGGTGGATGCTTGCAGTTTTGCCTTTAGAACCTAGATCACAGTTGATGATTTTGTCTATGACATCTTTGCCTCGGCGACTTAATACTTTGTATAGGGTACTTTTGCACCTGCAGTCAAGCATCACCACATGACTAAGATATGCATCAAGGAATTTGGATTGGAGCAATATTTATAACAATGGTTTATTTAAAATGTTTCTTGGAGCCATATTAATAGCTATTTTATTTTATGTAGGTTTGTTGTAATCTTATGCAAGATATTTATGTATAATTTAAAACTGTATGTGTGTGTGTGAATTGACTTCTTCAGAACTTAATTGTAAAATCAATAGTCTGTCAGTTTGTATTGCTTGCTTTAATATTTGTCAATTGTGTTAAATATTAATATATTATAAATATGGAATTATATTAAAATTTTTCATTTAAATTTATGTGTGTCTTCATATAGAAGATTAGTCTTAAAAACCAGTCTGTACACTGTGGGGAAATAACTGTTTGAACAGTTTTTTCTTGCATACATGTCTTTACTTGTTCTTGCTTAAAGTGGAATGCATTTTTCGCATATTCTGAATTTACTTAGCCATGTAATGCAAGAGTTTTAGTGAGTGCAGCATTTTCATCGTCTTGCAAATTTCATATATGCAACAGTTGTCCAAAAACCGTTATTTTAAGTGTTTTCTTTTATTGTAATATTCATTAATGTGATGTGACTAGTTAGTTATTATATAGAGTGATTCATTTAAAAATAACGTTTTTTATTATCTGTTTATTTGAACAACAATATAATTCAAAACAATTTATATTTCATGTACAATATATGTGGGAGAATTCTCACTTTTGTATTAAATACTGAAAATGCTCTCTGCCCTGAAGGCATGGCTAAGCATGTACAGAGATTGATTCTGAGCACTCATTGGAGCCATGTAATATTAATAGCACAGGTTTTGTTGGTAATAGTTTGCTTTAAATTCCGTGCTAGGTTTGTTGTGTTCCTGCACATTTGTTCAAGTTGTTTCTTATCAATACTATACATTTTGTTAGGAATGTTCTGCTTCAAATCTTACTCTACATGGCCTAGGCCATTAGAATCCTATGCTGTATGTTGTAGGATATTGGAAGGTTTGAAGTAGAACATTTACCAGTAAAATCAACTGTACTACTAGGACGGGGGTTCCAAAGAACAGCGAGAACATGAGACATGTTCAGCTGGGCCTTCAGGAGGGTGGAATTACTTTTGAGCATTTTCTGGGGAGACTGAGTATCTCCCATTTGAAGTGCAATAAATTTTTAGTAGCTTAATGCTTATTCAAATAAATAAATAATGGAAAGCATCAGTTTTATATGAATCATCCTGGCTTATAGTTCTGTTATATACATGCACCTAGTAGTAAAATGCAAATATGTATAAGCAACCTGAAATGTCTTTGTAGTGTTTAAAAATGTGTTAAACAATTAAATTTGCATTATTGAGTGTTATTCAGTTTTTCATATGACTGACACTTCTGACACAAATGATCTAACAACATTGCATACTTTAGAACTATGCAAGTAGTACTGCCAATTGATGTAGATTGAAAAGTAAAAATTATTATCAAAATACAGCTACACTCTGCCTCATTTCTATAAAGAATATAAATACATTTTTTGCTGCAGTTGAAATGACTTGATAAAGAACTAAATTTATTTAGTAGAAACAAAACATTGTACCTAACTGCTGTTCGTATGCACTCACTTATATTAAGTAATTTTTATGTATACTATCTTGGGCTTCTATAAACAGTGAAGATATTATGTAAATTCATTTTACATAATATTTAGAAATACACATGACAAAATTAATTGTATATTGTTAAGAAATTCCTTCTGTGCAGTATTGTTATGTATAAAATTTTTGCATGAGCAGGGAACCTCATAGGAAGAATATCTGTGGGGGATGGTATCGTCTTATTTAAAAAGCTTGTAATTTAAACTGTAATGGCAACTAGTTCATAATTTTTTTTTAAAGAAACTCATGAAACACAGACATTTCAGGTTACTAGCTGAAGATGTTGTCTTTGAGAAATGTTAAAATGTTTGGATTCTGTACCGTTTTTGATGACATAACCAGAACAAGCAGATGCCATTTCCTTTTTTAAAATTGTTATTAAGAAATATAGTTTATGGTTCTAATATGCTTGTTTAAACACTACTTTAAATTTTTTTTCATTAATTTTTGCTGTGATTTTTTTAAACTAATGTCGTACTTGTAAGAAGTTTAATGTATTGATAGCTTCTCTATGATTAGTCTTAAATGTTTCACATATGAAAAAGCTGATGCTTAATAAAGTATTTATTGATATTTTATACATAACTTATCTTGTGCTGTGTTATATTTATTGACTTTCACTTATAATTTTATGTTGTATGTTATACCGGTAATATTTATGTATTAAAAATGTTATGAATATACTTGTTAACAACCATATTGGCTGTCACATTTACTATGCAAATAGTAATCAAAAGACTGCTGAACTCGTGAAATTGTCATAGCATGTTGCCTACCTGTCTTACTGTCACACAACTTAGTCTTCAAAGAATTCTTTTATGGTTAATTATCTAGTCAGTCTTTGACTAATCTAATGAAAGTTTGGAATTGATTAAAGGACAACACTATTTTCTGTGCAACACTTTCTGCTCTGTGTCTAGGGTAATTTATAAATAAATGCTTAGTGTTGAATTTTTTATTCAGTGCTGAATTTTTTGTTCATAAATGAATTTCCCCATGTTGTCATGAAATCTTGTTAATGTGTAGTGGAAATGTTAAAAAGAGTTAATGTAATTAATGGTAAGAACACTTTTATATTGATTGCTACATTCTTGGATAGAGGGAATGCACGAAATAAATAGGTTTGGAGCAAACAGCACTGTTTTAGCATTCTTAGTATTTGCAACAAATTGAAAAAATTCAATGGAAGGACTAAATGCTTTTGGAGAATTCAGTTCTAATCTGAATCATTTCAACAATATGCTATCATTAAAGTATGTTACTGAAAATGTATTGCACAGCTATTATTATATCCTCTTTCATGCATATGTTTTTCTATTGTAATTTATTATGCATTGTAATGTAAAACACACTGAATGCTTGTTCTTGTTATGGTTTTGACTTCAAATTTGGACTTTTTTTCTTTTAACTCCATTTTTTTTTCCAAAAAGAATATATATATATGTGTGTGTGATGTAATTTCACAAACTATTGTTCAAAATCATATTTATTATTAACCCTCTGAGTGACAGGACTGCTTTTAGCCAGTCATGAGATTTTTTTAATACTTGGTATATATTAAAGTATGTTTCTTTCTTACTTCCTCTGATGAAGTAAATATCATCTTAATGAATCAAATTGTATGATAAAGAGACTAAATTAAGTAATTACATAAGTTTAGCTAGTGAATGCTGTTGAAATACAGTTTTTCTGGAGTAGTTTCCAAAAGCCATGCTACTTGGAGGGTTGTTATTACTTATTGAGTAGAGTTTTGTACTCAATAATATGCCTGTGTATAATATTCTGCTATATTTGTTATTAACGTGAATCTGGCTTGTGACTTTACTATGCTATTATGAATCAGAACTAAGCCTTGACTGTTGATCTTACTTATCACACAAATATTTATTGTTGTTATGACAACAATAAATATTTGTGTGATATTCTTATGAATTTTACATAATCCAAAGACGTATATCGTGAGGCACAATTTTCTGAAATTGCTAAACTTGATAACTGTATAAGAGAAAACATATTGTGAGTAATAATATGTACAGTAATTGGTTTCCTACAGAATTAAGGGTAGAATTAATTAATATAAATCACTTTTAAGATAATTTATGAATTTATCTGCCGAGAAAATTGGTATTAAAGGAAGTCATATTTTATGTGATATTATGCATCTGAAGTATAGATATTGTTTTTTTAATCTAGAAATTATTCAGGTTGATGTATGTTTGCATTCTAAGTGGCTTTCTACAAAAATCCAAATTTTCTGAATCAATGGTTTCTTTTTTCACGAACTTATCTTGATACAAATTGATTTGATATTCTGCAGATGGGTTTGTAGTGCTTATATTGTAAGCAAAACAGGCAAATAAAATTTGGTTTAATATTCTGCATATATGTTAATAATATTTAGCACACTGAGGTGATGCTTGGACCCTCTATTTTAGATATTCACTATTTTAATACAGCATATAGAGTTAAATGTTATCTCTGGTAAAAATTAATAATTTTCTTTAACTTCTAGTTTTTTTCTTTGAATTTCATCTCTTTTCTAATTGATGTTATGCTAACTATCGTTTTATGGAAATATTTAGCAACGTTTATGATTTCAAAATTCTAGTTTTCAGTAAACTAATTTTTTGGTGATCATGAGGAAAACTGGACAATTATATTAGGAATACTTGATACCCTGTCCTATGATGTTTAATCATATTAAGGTAATAGTAGTGAAAATAGTACATTATTTATGCATTAAAGAGTTAAAGCACTGTTAAAACTGTAAAATGCCTGCTTAATGCTTAATATGATTTAAACACACATATTTACTTCTAAGAGATCATGCATCTGGTTAGTATATGAGTGAATGCTTTTGAACATCATAGTAAAGTAGTTATAAAGTATCGACAATATGAGGGCCATTCAAATGAACAGTGAGTGTTTTTAAGTTCTGAAAAAGCTTTACTTTGTTTAGATTAGATTCATTTCTCAGGATTTCCTCTTTGCATTGCATTAAAAAATTCTTGTTCTGTATATCAGTATCTGTAATTTCATCTTCAGAGGATCTAAACCGTTAAAGCAGAGATTTGATATTCCTGCCTCTACTAACACTTTGAGATGACTTTGTGAGGAGGGGAGAATCACTGAAAGATAATATGTTGTATTAGTATGTTGTTTCAGTTTTATAGCCTTAAATAAGTTTACATTTATGGAATTGCATTTTGTGCTTGTGTGGAGTAAAATGTATTGATTTTTCAATGGTTAAAATATAGCATCTATGCATAAACAATAATTGGCATGGAAAAGAGAATCTATCAAAAATATATTTGCTTCTGTTTCTTATTGTAGATATATAATGTTTATTCTGATTACATTTTTAATAATCATTCAGTTGATATATTATCAGGGCCTGAAAAGTATATTTCAGTCAAAAAAATTTTTAAAGAAATAATTTAAAGAATGGCTGCTTCACAAACTTATCATGGATCATGTAATTGGGAATCAAATGATTGTACATCATTAGTGAACTCTCCTCCCCCCCTCCCGAAGAGTATTTGAGTGTTGAAAGATTTTTCCATTTGAGTGAGAAGAAATTCATTTATGAAGAATTTTACCACTAGGTAGGCCTATTGCAGCTTTGGTGGTAAAAGGAAATACAGAAAATCCAACCTCATATGAATGAAACTTTCCTGTGTCCTTTAATTTGTATTTCTATAAATGAGAACAATAAATATCCTCATTTTTGAACTAAGATAATCCAAAATAATTCCTTGTTTGCAAGTGTAATTTATATTAATCAGAGTTTGTCTAAAATATGTTATCTGTTCATTTTGCTTCAGCATTCAAATGTCATAAAATTAGATTTATCTTCTTTGTAAAATCTTTTTATTAAGTGCATAAATTAATAAATAGCATTTATTTTCATAATTAACATGTTCTTTGGTGTACCAATCTTTTTATATTTTGCTATATTTTAATTTACCTTGATTTGTGCAAAAATATTTTTCTTCTCTATATAACTTAGCTATCTGCATTCACAGAAGTAGTTAATTTTGCCTGCTGATAATGCTGTGAAATAAGGACTTCAGCAGTTCATACCTAAATATGCATCATAGGTTAAGGATTTCAGTAATTCATAATCTAAATATGCATCATAGCTTGGTTATCTCTAGGGATCTATCTTCAAATTTCTCATTCAATGTTATTAATTCATGTTGGAGTTTAAGAAGTATTGTTTGGAATTAAGTTTTGACTGCTTTCTAAGAGATTTGTAGACCTGAATATTAAAAATTATTTAATTTGAATTTTGAAATCTAGTGAAGTTTTATGTTTGAAACATAGATTAAATATGCATTGGCTTGATATTAACGATGAATAGCTGTAATATGTAATATAAATGTGTTGCAACATGATGAGTTTTGTAAAACAGATTCTAGAGATGGGACATGAGCATTGGAGGTTAATATAGAGATTTAAGTCAGATGTTTGAAGTACAAAGATCATTGCAAAAGTCTATCCCCCACACTAGTGTCACGTGTATGTAAAGTATAGATCGGTTGGTAGTTAAATTAGCGGAATTACAATCTCTGATGTATGAGTGAGAAATACATTGTTACTGCTGTATAACTTGTATGGAGGTTTATCAGAAAGCAGATAGTAATAGGTAGATCAGACTTCAGCTGTAATATTTTCTTGAAGTTTATTCATGATTGTTTTAATGTTCAGTTACAAAAAGATTTAATTTTTTATTGCTATCTAAGGAACTGCTTAAGAGGGTTCAGAAATAGCTAGTGAATAGGTTCTGTTATAATCTGAGAATATGATGATAAATTATAATACTAACTAGGTAGATGTGGCATTTAATTTGGTGTTAGAAATCTTACTTGCATATCAAAAACTGCTTCTTTGCAGAAAGTTTTTTTTTCCGTGTTTGTTTATTAATTTAAATCACTTTGGTAGAGGAACGATATATGTTGCTTTTAAGGCCATTTGTATTGGAGATAGCTTATGCCCTGAATGGCCTAACCATATTGCATCAGATATATTGGCTTCTTCTCCAAAATGACTTTATTGCAATGGTTTATAAAATTTTCTTTAATTTTTTATTAAAAGTATGTAGATAATCAAAATAAATATAAATAAAATATTAGAAACAAGGTAACAGCTATCATCTGAGATCAGCACTGAATAAATACCATGAAGATGCTACCACTAGACTAAGGTTTGGTTTGGTTTGGCTTATGTGATTATGGCAAAGCCTCGAGGGCTATCTGTCTAAAGGGAAGGATGCCTTCATGGAGGACTTTCTAAGGAAAACTAGTTCATATACACGTTACACATGGGGAAACTATGAAGATGGCCATGAAGCCAGACCATTCGCAGGATTTGAACCTTGGACCAAACTTCCAGTGTTCAGCGTTTTTACCGCTCGACCGCTGATGGGCCGGGTAAATATAGGCCATATGATTTCACTGTATCTTTAGATCTCTAGCAAATTTTTAATTATGTACAGTTTTAAAGTATTGTTTTCAATTTTTGAAAAGTGGATGTATTTTTAATGTGCCACCTGAGCATTGACACATATATTTAAATATAGTTTAATGATAGTTTTTAAGTAGTGTAATTGTATGTGAAAAAACTGGTTAATGATTTTGTTGTTCATATATTTTATATAATAAGATATTGCCGAAGATAATTATGGAATGGATATGGGAAAACATCATGTGCCAAACAAGGTATTCTCTTATATCGCAATAAAATTTATGTAAAATACATCCTAAAATATGAACCACAATCCATCTTTTGGTCAATGAGCACTTATATAATTATTCTTTGTTTTTATATTTTTAATAATTTAATTACATTTTTTAACCTTGAATATGTGCATTAAATATAGTTTAGCAATATTTACAGTTTTTTTCCCATATTCATTCTATATATGGTTATGGTTTTCTGTGTATTATCATGGTCATGGTAATAAATACAAACTATGCATTTTACTTCATGTTGTTTATATTGTACTAAATTTATGTAGAATTTTAGAAAAGTCATGTAAGTAATAGTTACTGAAAAACTGAACTGCCAGCCTGTGCATCAGAAATGTGTCGTAAATGAAAATAAAAACGTGAATATAAATTTTAAAAAATAAATTTTTATTTACGTTTTATGTTTTCATTTGATTGCACATTTTTAATATATGCATGCATTTTTGCACTCTCCAGAACTATCATCTGTACTACTTAATACAAATTTCAACCTTTGTTAAGAAATTTTGAATTCTAGTGTTACATGTGAATGCAGTAATGTGAAATGTTGTTTATGTGATATTTGTTGTACATAAGTAGAGCAGAAAAAAGGTGTAATCTTTTTTTTTCTTTGCTTATAAATCTATTTTCACAGCTTAGCCCCCTTTACCCAAAAAGTGGATTCTAGATTTATTAATTCATCAGAGATTACCTAAGTATAGTGATATCCAGTGTTACTAATTTATAAAAAATACAGTTACCTTGCCAAAATATTAAGATAATATATTACTATAATTTTGATTGGGATTGCAATACAATATGCTGCAGAAAATTGCTTAAAAAGATGTATGCATAAGTGTGTAAAATGGTATCAAAATGTTGCCAATCTACCAACCAAAGTACATGACAAATTAGTGTAGAAAATTATGTTTTTTTAGATGGTGGCCAAAATAAAAAGTGTAAAATAATAATTGCTTCTGCTCATACAGAATAAACTATGAGGTTAATTGACATTGTTGGGAGCTTAAGATAAGTTCAAGAGAGAATTATGCTTATTTTTAAGTATAATAATTTTGATTTATACTTTTTTGTTAAAAATGGAAGTGACCTCAGATAGTGTATAAACAGTCATAGTAGCATAATCAAATGCCTTGAGCTTATTATTTCTTGCTGCCTGATGAATAACTTTCTAAAATTTCTGATGTAGCCAAAGTAGTTTGGAAGAGATAATATACTTGAAAATTTTATCTTGTTAGACTAAAGATGTCATTTTACATTTATGATAGTTCATGTTATTTTTTTTAACCAGTGAGTGAATAATTTTAGAATTGTAATGTACAATTCATAAACTTCATTTTTAAACTTAAACAGTAAAAAATTATTATACTTTATATGTTTTTGTGTTTATTAACCCATTATCTTAATATTTTATCTTTACTGTCATATCTCCCACCATGATGCAAATTAACCTATATAAGGACAGATTGATTGAAGTTAAGGGATAGCTTTTGGCAATAACCACTGACATCTCTGAACTCTTTTTTGGTCAGCTCTTAAGATTTACCTGAACTGCCATCACCCTTTGCTAGTCGCGTCACTTCTATGATTCAAGAGACTTCAGCCAAAACTTGAAGTAATACTTTGCTTCATGAATTGCTTAATGAAATTACTGAAGTGTTTCATTAACTTTTAAATCCAGTAAAAGCAGTTACTTGTTCTGTCTTATACGATGTTTGCAAGTTGTTGAGTTGAAGTTATAATGAAAAAAAATATAATAAACCTTACGAGTTCAGTATTGCTGTAAGACTTAAGATGGGGCAATAAGTTGCTTGACTGTTTACAGGGAGCCAAAATTTAATACTGAAGTAGTTAGCTTCCTTGTACCTTAAAATCTTAATATTATTAGTTGTAAAATAATTCTGTATTTTAATTATTTGAGAAGGGGGAACATTTAATTTTCAAAAGAACCTCAAATAATGTTGCTAAAATTTTCTAAGTTGTTCTTAACTACCATGCAAAAATACTATTTAGAAGTTAGCCTCACATTAAATGTTTTAATTGTGAATGTATTTATTGCACTTTTCAAATATCTTACTTTCTCTTCACAGAGCACTATACGTTTAAACATATTTTTTAAATCATTGTATTGACATTCCTATTATTAGGGCTTGGATAAATATGTAAAATGATAGCATTAATTTTTTGAAGTACTGTAGCCATTTCATAATGATCTCAATTTTTACTAATGTGGAAAATAATTAAGTATTCTAAAAAATTGTGAACTTTGGAGATGGGGGGTATTGAATATTATTAAAAGGCACATCATTTATTTAAATAATAATTTGTTTAAGTAATTATCATTACTTAGACAAATAAAATTTGTTTAAGTAATCTCTCGTTTATCTTTAATGTGAAAAGAATTATAAGCTAGTTTTTGTATGTGGAAAGCTCAGTTTAGAAGGCCAAATAGTCATGTGTCTCATAATGTGTCCTGATTAAATTTTTTGGATTGAGGTTTAAGCATACGTTTTTCAATAGCAAGCATAATCATTTTAAATATTAAGAAGGCAATTAGTTGTGACATAATGACACATGTTTAAATAGACACAGTAATTTTTGTTAGATTACAAATAAGTGCGTATTTACAGCTTAAATGTATTGAAATGGTTCTCTAAATTATTCTCATTAGTTCTGTCTGTCTGTTTATAGTTTCTTTTCCCTTAGATATTTAAGTGTATGATATAGATAGATAAAATTTTTTTTGAAGTTTTTCTACACATGTATCTGGCTCTACTTGTTATTTTTTATGTGTTGTTTTATTTATTTATTAAATTCAGATGTATTTTTCTTTTAAATCTGTTTTGACGACATTTGGAGAAGGCTATTTTATAACCAAAGATATGATGTAAATTCCATCTTATGTATGTGTCAATTTATTTCAAGTTCATATTGAATGTATTTAATAAAGCATTGATATTTTGAAGTTAATGTTTTATTTTGCAACATGGGATTTCGGAAATACAAAGTTCTGTATACTGTGGAATACTTAATTACTAAAATGTGAAATAAATTGAATTATACGTGTCTACCTGTTGTGAAATTTGTTTCGTGTTACATTTTCGTGAATATTTTATCATTATTTGATTATATAAGTTTGGAATGATTATTAAAAAATTGTCATTTAAATCCGATTTCTTATATGGAAAGATATATCCTATTTATGATCAAGGAACAGTATAATTTTGGAAAGGGGGGATATTATATGAAAAAAAAAACTAAAAAATGTTCTTCAATGCCACGGTCTTCCTGCTGGTCTTTCCTGACTGCATCATCACTCCACGGGTCTCGATCAACCGATGTTGATGCTGTAATTTGTCGTGCGACTGGATTAAGCAGCTCGTATTTCAGTTCCACCGTTGAACAATATCGGCAGCTTTCTGGGCAAGGTCTTCTAGACAGGGCGTCGGCGTTTCCGTGTTATGATCCCTTACGATGACGGATAGCGATGTCATATTCCTGGAGTCTCTGTATGCACCAGGCTATTTGACCCTCAGTATTCTTAAAATTTAAAAGCCAGGTGAATGATGCATGATCAGTGCGGAGCAGGAATTTTCTGCCGTATAGGTAGTGATGGAAATGTTCTACGACTTTGACTATGGCGAGCAACTCTTTCCTGGTGATACAGTAATTCCTTTCCGGTTTAGCCCACCAGCGGCCGAGCGGTAAAGTCGCTGAACACTGGTAGTTCGGTCCGAGGTTCGATTCCCGCGAACGGGCTGGCTGCATGGGTGTTTTCGTGGTTTTCCCCATGTGTAACGTGTGTACGAGCCAGTTTCCCTTAGAAAGTCCTCCACGATGACATCCCTCCCCCTTAGGCAGATAGCCCTAGTGTGCTTTGCCATAATTAAATACACCACCACACCACCTCTCCGGTTTAGACAGGCACTTGCTCCAGTACGCCACTACACGTTCTTGGCCGTCTATTTCTTGGACCAAAACAGCACCGACACTTTCATTGCTCGCGTCCATGTCGAGCTGAGGATACGTCAGGATCGGAGCAGCTGTTAAAGCATCCTTTAAGTTGTTAAATGCATCCTCGCATTCTTTTGCCCACAAGAACTTTTGCTTACTCTCTGTCAGCTTGTGAAGGGGTCTTACGATGGAAGAAAAGTCTTTCACGAATCTCCTATAGTAGGTGCAAAACCCTAGGAAGCTTCTCAGCTGATGGACATTTTCGGGACGTTTCCAGGATTTAACGGCTGACACCTTTTCAGGAATCCGTGCAGCACAGCAACTTCTGCAGAGATGACCTATGTCCCAGGTAAGTCACTTCCTTTCGGAACAATTTGCATTTAGCGGGACTCAGCTTGAGATTGGCTTCTTTCAGTTTCTGAAGCACCTTTCTAAGATTTTTTAGCTGTTCTTCAAAACTCTTTCCGACGATGATGATGTCGTCCAGATATATCAGATAGGCTTCGTAGGAAAGACCTTTCAAAACAGTCTCCATAAGGCGTTCGAATGTTGCCGTCGCATTACACAGTCCAAACGCATCACCTTGAATTGCCAAAGCGCTTGTCCCGTAGTAAATGCCGTCTTTTCTCGGTCTTTAGGATGTATTTCTACCTGCCAATACCCACTCTTTAAATCAAGTGTTGAGAACCATTTGCTTCCAGAAAGAGTGTCTAGAATATCGTCAATTCTAGGAAAAGGGTGACTGTCCTTCTTCGTAACCTCATTCAACCGGCGATAGTCGACGCAAAATCTTGTTGAGCCATCTTTCTTTCGGACTAGGACGATGGGAGATGCCCATGGACTTGCTGAAGGCTCAATACATCGCCTTCTTCCATATCCTTTAACAGTGTTCGCACCTCTTCCTGTTTAGCAAACGTTAGACGTCTTGGATGTTGCTTGATCGGGGGATGATCGCCGGTATCGATTCTATGTTGTGTCAAACTGGTTCGACCCACGTCAGAAGACGAGCGGGAGAAAACAACTTGAAGATCTTTAATGACGCGATGGGCAGCATTCCTCTCTTTATCGTTTAATTGCGCATTCTGCAATAACTCCGATGTAATGCTCTCTGAGGACACGGATTCTTGGATGTTACTCTTTCTTTCAACGGTGGTTACTGGAGTACATGCTGCAAACACTTCACCTTTCTTAATAACTCTCACTTTCTCAGTTACATTGGCAACTCTCACCGGGATAACCGTTCTCGTAGGTCGACGAGTGTTGAGGCTACTAGTACTCCTTTCGGGCATTACATTTGTTAGGATATTCTATAATGTCGTAGAGGAAATTTCTATTTTCGGCTATGGATCCAGGAAGTAGAAACTCTGTTCTTGCGGGTATTGTGATATCCTCTTGAGCTATGATTTTGTGGACAGATTTAACTCCTTCATTATTAATTCCAAATAGGGCTATGTCGTTATTTTTAAAGTCCAAGGAAAAATTGTATTTCCTTAGAAAGTCCAATCCGAGTATGCAAGAATCAGTGATCTCTGCTACAAATGCCATGTCATGGTAAGCGGCGCTTCCAAACATGATGTTTAACGTTTACTTTTCCGTCGATGTCGATCTTCTCACCGGACACAGTGTGAAGGGTATTGCAGGGCGGCGTCTAGAGAATTTTGTTTCCCAGTTGTTGAGCGAAACCTTTTCGGATGATGGTAACGTTGGCTCCTGTATGTATCGTCATATTGCAGGGAACTCCATTAATATGTCCTATAATGAAAAGTCTATTACTGCCGCCTCTCACTGCAGAAATCTGAAGGGCTTTAAACTGGGGCTTTTCATTATCTGGCAACCTCCGCCCCGCGAGATGGCCACTAATTAGTTTCCCTGCTGTTTGATAGGAGCGGTCTTAACATCCGTACCCTGGGGTATTATGCAGTTCCGCCGTATGTGTCTTTCAGCTCCACAGTTCCAACATTTTAAGGTCGGCTTCTTGTCACTAATATTTCTTCCCAAGGCATTGAGTTGTCTGGTTATATCGTCTAGACGAAAAGTGACTTGATCCCTTGGCTCCTGGACATGAGCAGCTTTGATTGGGTGGCAGTCTCTACGAGTTGCTTGCTGGGCTGCCTCGAATTTCATGGCGTACACTAGAGCGCTTTTCAAGTCTTTAACATCCGCCATTCGTAGTGTTTTCTGTATCTCAGGGTCCCAGATGCCATCGATGAAATATTGAAGCGACAGGATTTCCCTTGTTTCGGTTGGGCACTCGGAAAAGGCGAGATGGGACAGCCTTTCAACATCCGTGGCGAGTTCCTGGAGTGATTCGGTTGGCTTCTGTTGACGGGATTTTAATTGAAGCCTGCTGTAGTCTTTTAAACATTTCTGTCTCGAAAGCGCAGCTCCAATGCGCCGGATAGAGCTTTCGAAAGTCAAGTCTCTGTTTTTCTGGAAGCGTCTGCAAGAATATCCGCTGTGTCTTGCTCTCAGAGAAAGCGGCGAGATGACAAGCCCTTAGTTTCGGAATCCCATCCATTCGCATCCGCCACGATACGGAAAATTGTGTCTTATACAACTTGCCAGGAAGTTTTTCCTATCATATGTAGATAAGTTTCAGTGAGGGATGAGCAGGCATTGGTAAAAATTTTAAAACCATCCGAATTGCTCCTGCTGTCGCTAAGAATTTCTTTAAAGTATCCACTTTTTTGGCAACCGCAGAAACCCGGTCATCAATTTGTTGCTCGATTTGTTGTTGAATGGAACAAACTCTTCCTTCTATTTCTTCTCTGACAGAAAATTTGTCCCACTTTATTTTCAACTACATCTATTCTGCCTTCCATAGCCTCGAATTTGGTTTCTATTATGCAGGCAATTTCTCTTCTCATTTCTTCTTGACCGGCTTGAACAGCTTTCAGTTCTTCCTTAACGGATTCCTGTCGCGATTTCATCTCTCCTTTAATGCAGCAAAGGCTGATATCAGCTGTCTTAACTGCTCTTCCATCGCTCTTGTGATTGGCATCTCACTTCTGACACCAAAAATTGTTGCGTGCGTACGGGTTCGTTACGAAATGAATGCACAAACCGATGAAAAATGAATAAGATTTATTATCACAAATAAATAAAACACAATACTTCAACTTTTCTTAGATATTCGTACAGTATTACAATATCTCACAGTAATTATCGTTTAACTACTCAAACGTTTCAACATAACTCAATTCAAAACAGCTAAAGAAAGCTAATCCGCGAATTAGCTACAGTCAACAAGAGCAGTTTTTTAAACAAACTCTTAAAACAACAACAAACTAACTAAATAACAACTAAGAATTGAGAGGTTTTCATGCCACTTATATAAGCTTTATAAATCGCGCGCGAGAATTTTCTGGGACTTTTCTCGAAAGAGATATTTATTTATTAAATGTTAAATGCACGTGCTGTTGTATTTTTAATTTTCCGGCTTAGCTTTCCTTTAATATTCATCACGCGTTAAACTGCACGGGGAATAAAACAATTTAATTTATAATTCAACTAACATTAGCTATTTAAATACCAAATCTGTAACAATATATTAAGCAAGTTGCATTCATGTTAAAAAAATATTCCCGATAAATGTTTACAAAATTCATGCATTAATATATAAAAATAAAGAAATAAATAAACACGTCTTCATGAAAATATAGAGTTCTATATAATATGTCTTATGTACACCTTTTACAATACATTCTTTCTAAATTGCACAAATGTATTATCAATTTCAATATTTGGTATTCTGTTTTAGGTTACAGAACTGCCATGTGAAGGTGTAATTCAGAATGTTCTCTTAGAAACATATTTGTTTTAAATAATGCTATATTGCTTTGTTATACTGATTATATTACTTTTAGAAATATTTCCTTTAAAAATTATTATGTAACAGACATAAATCTAAAGCATAAGGTTACATCATTGTTAGAACTAGGAGAAAAAAACATTTACTTGTTCTAAATTTGTATTTCATGCTTATAAACTATTACTTTAGCACATGAATATTAATCTTTTCACTGACAAGCGGATTTACACTTAGCATTAGTATATATGCAATCTTTCACACATATATATTGATATAAAGATGTAAGAATTAATTTTTCAGTAG